CTGGGCTACATGTCACTAACTGCTACCTATGTATTGCTGGACCAAGGGGAATCCTTAGTCTGGCAATCATGCCTTTTAGAAAGCTTGTCCACTGTGTAGACCATAAAGCACAAAGGCATCAAAACAAGTACTTTCTATTTTTCTGCTTACATTCTAAAGCACAGCTAAAAATTGTACCTGATTTTCAGGGTTATTTGCAGGAAACAGCTGCAGAATGTCCTTCAAGGGAGATTGTCAATAGGGAAACCAACCTCCTTGTCTGAAAATGTTATTTTCTCTCTAACTGAGGACAAGTATGCAAATAAGAACCGGTTTTCTCTGGCTTTCTAATCTGCATGGCTGTTCTAAGTCAGTTAGCCATAAGGTATAATGGGTGGGACAGCATAACAGCCAGGCAACTAAAATTCAGAAAGAGGTTAGCAATGGCAGCCCCATATTTCTCTAATGATTTCTGCTTTAAAGCAAAAGCACTCCTAAAGACAAGGTAATACAAGTTGGTAAGCTAGCCATACAGGGATTTTTCACACTGCAGTGACCTTAAACAGCCTGTTAACATGGCAGTCATTTCTGAAGTCTCCTTTAACATGTAATCTGTCTTAAAGCAGTTGTGGGTAACATACCCCCGTAACGAAAGACTGAACAAACATCATGCATACCCAGCCACAGACGCTAGCATCCTTCTACAACATGGCAGCCTTCCCTGACAGTGCCTTATAGCATTTCTGCTGTCTAAAGCTACATTCACACTATGTGTGATTTGGGTTCCTACGATTCCTGTGGCAGCAATCCCAAATATTTAGTTAAGAAGTGACCGCTGTCACCCGTTCAAGTTAATGACCAGGTGAAAACGGCCGCATCTGTAAGCTGCACTCTACTGTGCATCTTGAATCTATTGTGTTTCCAAGCATAGTGATCTATTCCAAACCGCATGTAACGGTATTACATGCCAACACATGCTAATTACCACTTACAGATGCGGCTGTTGTCACCCGGTCATTAACTTGAACGGGGGACAGCAGCCACTTTTAAATGTAATATTTGGGATTCCTGCCAAAATGAATAGTGTGGGTGGGGCCTTAAACTATCTCTTGGCACATGAAAGCAACTGTGGGTTGCATATCCTGTTACCCAAAAGTTTAAAACAAATATTTTGTGATCAAAAGAGTGCAAGCATCAAAGAACAATGGAAGATGAGTTGTCCCTATTAAGCTTTAAAAATGTAGTTTCCAATTTTGGAATGGGACTGTAATCCCTTTTCTCTCATGGCTCACATGAAGGCTATCTTGACAACAGAGTGGCAGCATGGAGCTGTGGTTAAATTATGTCTGTTCCACTTATGCCGGAATAAGCCTTTAGAAATAATTGCAGAGTTATGACTGATATTAGAGTAAGTATGGACAACAAGATTTGACTGATGAATATATTTTTAGCCATATGCTCTCACCCAATGAATATACATGTTGACATGCACTAGGGACAGTGTTAATCCAATGGGAGCAACAGTATGTTGACATTATACATTATGCTGATTGCCAAGGGTTGGTGAAACCCAAGTTTAGCATACCACATGTGTGAAAAACACAGGTGTGTAAGGGGTTGATTTCATATACTCATCAGCTCCATCTAGGGGCACTAACACAGTCCAAATGGCATCCACCTGGCTACACATCATATATTTTATATATCTCATATATTAGGACAACCAAGTACACCAAGTAACAAAATACATTTATAAGGTATACACTCTGCGGTGTATATATGAGCTAATATTTTCTAAACATTGCATTTAGCCTTTTGTCACATTCGCTATACTCCACCTATTAAGAATGTGTCAGTCTATTTTGTATTTAGCTGGTCTGACATGTATGTCATCGACCATGAAAGCTAATTTAAAAAGAGAGTGAAGCTTTTGCACATGCAATTTACAGATTGTTAAAACTGAGAGATATACATTTCAGCAGAAGAAGAAATACAACAAGCCAAGACTGTATAATAAAGTCCATTCTTAATGTGAACTATAAACTTGCCTACATAAATCCTAGTTGTGTAGCGCATACGAATCAAGCTTACAAAATGATTCACCCAATATTGTTTTAAGCGTATGTTTTCAAATCATGCCTCTGTATCATACTATAGAATACTGTCATATACAGTATGTTTTGGGTAAAACTTGCTATATTATTTCCTTATTAACGGCACTTTTTATATACAAGTATCCTGCTGTGAGGTAATGATTGTATATGTTGTACCATTATGCTGCCATGCATTACAATTATTACAGAAATGCCATAACCTTTGGGGTTGTCTCTTTAATCACATGTGGTAGTCATCAGCAAAGGATTTACAGATATCGTTTTATACTGAAGGAACATATATCTATCTGTGAATAGAAGACTTTAACCCCTTCATGACTGATGCCCTTTTTTCCATTTTTGCACCCATGTTATATTCCACATTTTAGGCCTGAAAATGACGTAAAACCCCCCAACATTATATATTTTCTGAATGCCAAGACCCTATAGAATAAAATGGTGGTAGTTGAAAATTTTTATGTTGCGCAATATTAGCGCAACTCCTTATTAAACCCCAAAATTTAGTGACAAATTTAATTAAATGCCCCAAAACACAACAAATTACCCATTTTTTAAAGAAATATAAAAGATGAGGTTACAACGAGTAAAACGATAAACTTTGTGCAAACAGCTAAATACAAAGTTGAAATACATACATTACTAGAGGCCGATATCTGGAAAGGTTTAGGTATCCATATAAGTTCTATGTAGAAAAAACATTAACAGGGCTATTCACAAAAGGGTGAAGAGTTTGGAGAAGGCAGGAGAAGTGAACAATCTAGGACAACATAGCTGATTTGGAAAATTCTCCAATTCTGCTCACTTTCCAGTTCAGCTATGTTGTCACAGATTGTTGACCTCTCTTGCTTTCTCCAAACTCTCCACCCTTCTATGAATAATCCTGTTAGTAATCTTCAATAGCAAAAGAAAATATTCTGGATGCCTTAAAGGATAACTATGGGGTCAGGGCTTTTCCCCATAGTTCTCCTAAGGGTCACAGGAGAACACAAACTAGCGTTCTCCCGTGACCCAAAGCTCAGTATACCGCAAGCTACAACTCGCGGTATACTGAGACGCTGCAGCCGGGACAGATCCCGACAATACTGTCAGGATCCACCCAGCTGCGGCATTGAAAGCTGGCTCTGCCTATCCAGAGGCAGAGCCAGCTGTGCCCGCCCCCTCCCCTGTCCGTTTTGCCAGTCAGCGCTGGAGGATCAGAGAGGGGAGGGGGAATCCTTGCAGGGAGCTGTGAGTGACAGTCACGGCTCTCTGCAGGGATAGATCGAGAAGTGAGCGAGCGACGTTATGTGTTCGCTCACTTCCCGATCTACTGAGCCGACCTGTGACAGTTTCATTGTCACAGGTGGGCTCAGATTATGAGGCTGTTTGAAAATCACTTGCCTCATAATTCTCCTTTAATTTCCTGCCTGACACAATTTTGTTTTTAATTTCCCTTTTTGCCTTTTACAATATAACTGGAGGGTTCTAAACCTAGCAGGTAACAATACAGACACTTGATGTGTTATCACTGATCCTGCAACTTTAGCTCGCAGACAGAATTATTGAAGGTCTGCTCTCACCGTTTTGACCTTGGCTCACGATTTTCAAATCTCCCTCTAAATATAAGCACCTTAATTTTAAAACAATTTATAACCTGTACAACATAAGCTTTTTTTTTGAGAATTCAACAGACTGTTAGTTAACCTAAGGATACTGTGGACATTCCTAAATAGTTTAAAGTAGTATTAAACTCTCAAAGTTTTATTTCAATAATGAATCCAGATAAAAATATATATATATTACTCAGAAAAGTATTTCATTCGATTGTTGCCCAAGCACTTCCAACCATCATATTTCCAAACCGCTCCAATTCTCTCAGCTCCGTTTCACTGAACTTCCGGTCCAATACAAGATCACAAGGGACAGAGTAGTCACCAGCAGATCTCCATCTACTGGCTTAGAGAAGCGAAGAGAAGCAAGGAGCAGGGGAGTGTCTTGCCTTGCTGTGTCTATATGTTTGTGGCACACACAGCTTACTAGCACACACAAGGGTGACTCCCATAGGACCCTACAAGGGAAAAGATCCACCATAAAACAGGATATTAAGGGGGGCCACCTCATATGGCAGGAAGATAACACTTTTAAACTTCAAGGAGCAGCATCCAATGTAAGTGATTTTATCAGCAGTTGAAATAGCTGGAAAACCCTTTGACTTTAATATCACTTTAACCCCTTTCAGTTGTCTCGATAATTAACCTTTTATGACTTACATTTCTGAAACTCACTAGAGTTTTATCGTCTTTAGGGGATTACAACTGGCCATACACGTGTTCAATTTTGGCCAAGTTCTATTCACTCGGTCGACATTAGAGCAGTGTGTAGCAGTCGCTGGTCGGTATTCTGACAGCAGCACACCCACCGCTGTCAGAATGCAATAGCCCAGGGGGGAAATTCCCCCATCAATGATTTTAGACTGAATTTGACAAAACTCACAATCTACAGCCAGCTTAACTCTTCAATGAAGTGATGAGGGAAGGATCACTTAAAAAATACACAAGTCAATTTGATTCTCTTCATCCCCCCGACATAAAGGGATTCTATTCTATTGATTAGTAAACTAGACATTACAAATTTTTAACTTCACTGTATATATCATAGGAATCCTCTTCCGTACCTTAAAAGTCCCCTTATCCTATTTACATGTTAAATTATTAGCTTACCAAGCATATAAACAAGCAGATGATATGCAAGTAGAAACAAAAATATTACAACACAGGAACAAGTATCTGGGACTGGTTTATAAAATATTGTATTAACGCTCAGTATATGATAATTTTAATGCACACTTGCAAATGTTCAGACATAAACGACATGGCAATCTATGTCATGCACTACTACAACTGAAAAGGACTGTATAGTAAAACTGACCTTGAGAAGCCCCCGGGAAAAATCTCCCCCTTCATTCACCCCTTGGAGATTGGCAATGAATTCCTGACAGCTCATCTTCTTTCCAATATTCTGAAAGATAGAAGGTCAGGCATTACAATGATATATTTCCTCCTACCTGCATTAATTAAAAAAGACACCTGCCATGTGGTGTTAAACTCAAACGACTGATGAGGTTTTCAGAACGCAAAGACATTCAAAAACAAAAAAAAGAATGCTGTTAACCAAACATAGTCACCATGCTATAAAATAAAGAATACATATCTACAATAATCTGATCCATGCAAAACATATGTCAGAAATGGGTCACAGAGGTAACCCAGTGGTGGAACCATATTGCATAGCAAAGGAGGAATTTCACTGCAAAAAACATAATTGCTGAAATTATTTGACCTTTACCTAGATCATTTTCTGTAGATAAAAGCAGTAATTTAAAAAACAAAAAGTTTTATACCATATATAAAGACTGGGCATGTTTGGTTAAAGTGATTTTCTGACATGGCTATGGCTATCCTTAATGAATACTTTCCTTTTTCCTGAGACTTGGGATTTTAGGTTTGCAAAAACACATATACCAAAATCTGAGCTCAAAGTCCAGTTATACAGGTGAAACTCGAAAAATTAGAATATCGTGCAAAAGTTCATTTATTTCACTAATGCAACTTAGCCGTCTACCAGGAGATTTTGGAGCACTTCATGCTTTCTTCCGCAGACGAGCTCTATGGGGATGCTGACTTCATTTTCCAGCAGGACTTGGCACCTGACCACACTGCCAAAAATTTTCTGAGATTGTGGATCTGGGTTTTCATGAGCTGTAAGCCATAATCATCACAATTATGACAAATCACGGCTTGAACTATCTTGCTTTGCATGTAATGAGTCTATCTCATATATTAGTTTCACCTTTTAAGTTGCATTAGTGAAATAAATGAACTTTTGCACGATATTCTAATTTTTTGAGTTTCACCTGTATATGATGACCTCTCTGAAAGCTATTATGCATGGACAGTAAGACAGTTCAAGGAGCAGTATGAAGTGCTTAGATGGGCAAATACAGAATTATTTTGACATGAGTTTAAGATGCTTCTGAGATCATTCAGATGCATGTGACTCAGTTCAGCTGCTTTTGCATGACTATGGTTATGAAGCAAACAATTGTCTGGCACAGACCCTAAAAGGTGCCCATACACTGTGCGAATTTCTGCTGGCTTTTAAGGAACTGGCTGAAATTTATGCAGTGTGCGCCGCTGTCGGCACCCTTTCGGTTGGCATCCCACGATCAGTTGATTTTTTCATATGATAGGAGCCGGCAGCCAATGAGCGGCCCACTCCCGTCGGGTATTTTGACAGCAGCTGGCGGCTGCTGGCAAAGCACATTGCAAACAGCGGGATTCCTCGATCGACCCACTGGTAGTGTTGATGGAGGAATCTGCTCTATTTTTCTCCTTCAGCCCGTGGGTTGCACAAGAAAAATAGATCAGTGTACACCCGCCATAAGTCTCAACACACAAATTGCAATCTGACTTTACCACCTCTGCTAGATCTACCAAAATTATGTAATACGAGGACCTAAACTATCCAATCAATCTGTATACAATGAGTCAGGCCCCTGCACTACATACTTCTAAGTAGATTTAATAAAAATAGTACAATTAGATTGTAACATGTGTGGAAGGCTTAAGGCCCCATTCACACTTGAACTGAACTTTGGTTGCTTTTTTTTGGGGGGCGGGGGGGGGTGTTTTTAGAAAATGAAGGGCTGGGTACTGGATAAGAAAAATGTACAAATCATGTGTTAGGCCCCATTCAAACCAGATCTGTGGCAATTAATTTTTCCCCGGATGTCAACGGAACGTAACCCAAAAAATGAATAGGTGTGAATGGGACCAGTTCACACCGCTCTGTTACGTTGCCTTGCACTGAACAAAAAATAAGAACATGCACTACTTTTTTTCAGTGCAACATAACACAACACAGCAGTGTGAAATAGCCCCATTCACACCCATTCATTTTTAGGTGCTCTTGCGTTAGCATCTGTGGCAAAAAAAGATTGCAACGGACTGGAAGGAAATTGGAAGGTACAATCCGAAGTCAATGGACCCTCCCTGTTGGCTTACGATTACCTTCCGATTTTGGTGTGGATGGGCCCTTACACGTCTTTTTGCAGGCACTCCCACTGAAGTCTATTGGGGCCAAAACGCTCAACTCTGCCCCAAAAGTACTTTTTTGTACTTTTTTTAGGCATTTTGTTACAAGTGACAGAATGCTCATGTGTGAACATGGGCCATTGAAAACAATATGATGCCTCTTGTTGAGCATTTCAGTGTTTAAGTATTTATAATGTTCAGTGTTTATAATTTAGCTGTCAGGCACCTCTAAGCCAGCTAAATTAGGACCCCACCTGCAGCTCCTCCCACTGGACCAGCGCTGCCGCTGACTCGTCCCTGCTCTCTCCGGCACAGTGAATCACAGTGAGTGAGGGGAGATTTGGGGGGATTTATTAAGCAATTATGTATAGTCTGCATTGTATTAGCAGTATATATTCTATATAGAGTACATATAGAGCACATACTGCTAATACAGTGCAGACAATACATAATAACATGAATGGATTAAATGATCTGTATGTAGCCCTGTACTATGGATCATTTAACCCATTCATGTTAGCAGAGGATAATTGTAAATGTATTGTTGCAGGCACTCTATATGTACAAGTACTATAACTGCCCTGCTAACATGAATAGGTTATATTCATGTTAGCAGGGCAGAATTGTGAGCGCCTCCCACAAGCTGAGCACCGAGATGCGATGCAGTGATCCTGATCAGCGCCGACTACGAGAGGCACCGCGTGAGGCAACAGGGATCGGAGTAAAACTGTGAGTAAGGGAAGCTGGGACGGGGCTGGCTGTAAATCTATTGCTATAGTGTACTGGACGTGTGTAATGTATATGTAGTACATATATACAGCACACACCTCCACTACACTCCAGCAATAGAGTTACAATTCTCCGCTGCTAACATGAATAGGTTAAACCATGATCCATAGTACATAACATGTAGTTGTACTATGGATCATTTAAAGTCACCTGTCCCTTTAAGAAAAAGTATCGGTAATTGGTATCGGCAAGTACATGAGGGGATGTACTTGTACTTGGGCCTGAAAAAGTGGCATCGGGACATCCCAAATGGCAACCAATCAGCTTCTCTCTCATTTTTAAATCTCAACTGAACAGACTGAAGAGAGAAGCTGATTGGTTGCCACGTGCAACTGCTCCAGATGCTTCTGCTCCAGTTTTGATAATTTCCCCCTAGTGTGTTCTGATCTACCAAGTCATCTTATAAGTATTACTGGCTCTGTAATAACATTTGTTTCATTTGAGGGAAAACCTGAAAAGGGAAAAGTAGACATGTTATACACATCAACACATCAAAATCCATGTGTAATTTCCCTACTGCAAGTTAGAAGGTGAAACTAATACCTAACCGATTGGCATGAGGTACCGCTCTTTTTGTCCTTTCATCTAATATTTGCAAAACAATTTCAGGGTGTGTTCAAGCAGCTGGAAGAACTAAGACTTAAGGAATAGTTCACACCAAATGTGTTCCAGATGCCAAGCAGAGCATTTACAGAACGGATCAAAACCGCGTCCAATGTATTGCAATGGTATTTTGCAGCGTTCAGTTCCAGAGCATGTAAAAAAAAACTGCAGCAAGCCCTATTTTTCCTCCTCTGGAACGCATGAAAACGCCCTGGAACGCACTGAAAGCTCATTTTAAAAAACGGCCCGGAATGCGTCAAAAACACCGCAAAACACACTGCACTGCGTGTCCAGAAACTCATGCAGATCTGGTCAGCATTTGGTGTGAACAAGCCCTTAATTATAAAGACACAGGACCAAATGCAAAGCACCAGGATAGTTAAATTAGTTAAGCAGCATTAAAATGAAGATGCATATTTGTGTTGTGTATTTTAAATACAACCTAATAGGCATCCAGGTTTTATTCTCTCACTTAACCAAGCAATCTTTTTTCATTTCAGACCAAGCACTGAAGGTTCCTGTCTCATCCTTTACTTAAATCATCTAGTATGTCATTCTTATTTTCAGGTAATCTCTAATTATTTTCTCTCTGGATGGGCTAGCCAAGTTGCTTTAGAAGACATCTTGATGATTTGTTTTGTTATTACTGCATGACTTGTGTTGTCAAGGCGCCTATAATTAAACCTGTTGGATAACAGCTGAGTCTTGACTGCAAGAAAATCCAAATTTTCCCTTAAAATAAGTGTAAAAGATTGGACCGGGTGTAGTAGTTAAATAAATTACAAACATGCGTTAATGGCATGCATGCTTAATTTAATACAGCACAAACTACTATTTTTCTGATTTTACAGCAGCCTTCTCAACTAGGGTGCTGTGGCACTCTTTTGTTCCTTGTGGCTTCCTCACGGGTACCTCAAGATTTTCACCCAGTGTCATGCTTTTTCATGGTGGAGCCCGGCTGGGTGCCAGCACTATGGAAATGAATGATGCAATACGGGGAGGGGGAATCAATCCAGAAAAGAATGGTATTTCACTTCTGTTCTTGCCTGCTCCATCTCCCTCCCTCTGCCATACTGCTGCAGCTGTGGCTCCTGATATGATGTTCGAATGTGGTGTAAAGATGGGGCTGAAGATTCTAATGTTAAGTGGGGACTGAGGACTTTATTCTGAAGGGGGCTTCTGATGTGAAATGGGGCATCTGATGTGAAGGGGGGCTTGGGATGTAAAAGGGAACTCCAATCTGAAAGGAGGGTTCTGATGTGAAAGAGGAACCCCACATGATTTTTTGTTTGTGCTTGTGCATACAGTCCCCCCTTAAAACCTATACCAGACCCCATATATTTTTTTACATTTTAGACAGGGGTGCCTCAAGATTTTGCATATTTTTGAAGGGTGTCATGACTGAAGAAAAGTTGAGAGGTTTTAGAGAGCTCTTTTCTTTGTAAAGTTTAGTAATTCTTTCGGAAGATGGGAAATATACTTTCAACCCCATTACCCATAGCATTCCATATATATCAGCACCCATTCCCTTAC